CAGCGCAGTACTGCTTTTCTGACACGCCACACGACCCTTCAGCTCAACCGCCCCAGTGCTGTCCACATACTGCAGCGCTTCCAGCACCTGCCAATATAACACTATACTGTTAGCACTGACTTTGGTTAAAACATTTGCAAACATTTATTGGTGATTTTTAACACCAGGTGAACAAAGAATGGTAAAAAATGTTAATGATTGATGCACAAAATATCAGCGAATGTATCAGTATTGGCCAATATTAACATTTCAAATTATTAATTCTGGTCTGATTAAGATTATTGGAAGCAGATACTTTTTGGTCTTCTTTTTCCATAATTAGAGCAGTTTACACTTTTCTGTCCCAGGTTTCTAAGGCACTACACTGTTATCTATTTTTTCTATTGTGCATGCAATAATGGTTTAATGTCAAATTTCACTTGAAACTTAAAGGAGTTGTTCACCCAAAAATGAAAATTTGCTGAAAATTTACTCACCCTCAGGTCATCAAAGATGTAGATGAGTTTGTTTCTTCATCAGAACAGATTTGGAGAAATGTAGCATTACATCACTTGCTCACCAATGGATCTTCTGCAGTGAATGGGTGCCGTCAGAATGAGAGTCCAAACAGCTGATAAAAACACCACAATAATCCACAAGTAATCCACACTCCAGTCCATCAGTTAATATCTTGTGAAATGAAATGCTGTGTTTGTAAGAAACAAATCATTAAGATGTTTTAACCGTCGCTTCTGGTCAAAATATGAGCCTATAATCCATAATAATACTTCCACAAGTGAAAAAGTCCATCTGTTGTTCTCTCACATCAAAATCCACTGACACATTTGACTTTATTTTAGTCAGTTTTTAAGTTAAAATGTTGGATTTGTTTCTTACAAATACGCAGCTTTTCACTTCACAAGATGTTAATTGATGGACTGGGGTGGTGTGGACTATTGTGATGTTTTTATCAGCTGTTTGGACTCTCATTCTGACAGCACCCATTCACTGCAGAGGATCCATTAGGTTATTGGCAGGCCTATATATAATTAATGGATGCTATGTATATGTGTGTATGTGTGTGTGTGTGTGTCTGCATGTTTATATATAAAACTCTTGTTGTTATTCATGACTGCGTATCAAAAAACATATTACTGTGCTACTGAAACATATCCATTTATAACGTGGACATGCAGCAGAATGAGTAGATGGACTGACCTTGATTCTCTGATGGTACTCAGGCAGCAGTGTCAATGACTGATCTGACACCAGGAACAGAAGCATGTCAAGCTCTTCCTGTACACTCATCCTCTCCTGCACACGCGCAAACTGAGCAAGATATTCACACAGAGAGAGAACATGAAAATGACAGTGAGAGAGAGCGAGTTTATCACTCTACTCCATCAGCGCACTGCAGAAGGTGAAGGCTGGAAGTGATTACTGAGAGCTAATGAGACACATCCTTATTCCGCCCTGCCACTGTCACACTCAACACACTCAATTCTGTGCACTTGGAAGAGTTACTGTACCAAATGACTAAATATGGATGAGAAAATACAGCAAATACAGCAGTTAGATTAGAAATTATTTTTTCCCTTTTGTCTGCACAGTGGATTTGGACATGACCTAAAACAGCAGGAAAAACACTACCAATCAAAAGTTTGGGGCTGATAAGATTTTTAAGTCACTTATGCTCGATGAATTTATTTGATCAAAATACAGTAAAAGCAAAAGTCAAATATTATAACGGTTTAAAATAGCTGTTTATATTTTAATATAATTTGAAATGTAATTTATTTCTGTGATGGCAAAGCCAAGAGTAATTTTAAAGTAATTTCACCATTACTTCATCTTCTGATTGACTGTGATTATGTCACTTTCTTGTTCTTGTAGAAAGAGGTTATGCCAATAAATTCATATCTGTATCTTTTCAGCTTCACGGCTACATGGAGAGTGAGCCTCTGACCCTACAGCTGTTCATTGGGACAGCAGACGACCGTCTTCTCCGGCCCCACGCCTTCTACCAGGTCCACCGTATAACCGGGAAGACCGTGTCCACACCAAGCCACGAGGTCATACAGTCCAACACCAAAGTTCTTGAGATTCCTCTATTGCCTGAGAGCAACATGAGGGCCATGTGAGTATGCGTGTACACTCCAAAAAGACACTAAGAAACAGGAAAAACACAGAGAAACATCCAAGCCCAGTGGGGGGAAATGTTTGTACATCATAATTATGTATATCCACATGCATCCTGTGCATGTTTCCTGCAATAAACAACATTGATTCTTTAGACACCCCTCCGTTTTACCGCCGATCCTCCTGTTGTGAAGGCAGTTGCTAAGCAGAAGTGTGTTTTTTGTGTGTGTAAGGAGTCCCAGTGCCGTGGGTTTCCCTTGTATGAGCTCCAGGGCTTGTGAGAGGATCCATTGGTGAGCAAATGATGTAATGCTACATTTCTCCAACTCCTTTCTAATTAAGGAAACAAACTCGTCTACATCTTGGATGACCTGAGGATGAGTAAATTGTCAACAAATTTTCATTTTTCATGTGTGTGTGGGTGTGTGTCTACATGTTTATATACAAAACTCTTGTTGTTCATGACTGCATATCAAAGAACATATTACTGTGCTACTGTCTATACCATGGATATTCACCAGAATGAGTAGATGGACTGACCTTGATTCTCTGATGGTACTCAGGCAGCAGTGTCAATGACTGATCAGACACCAGGAACAGAAGCTTGTCAAGCTCTTCCTGTACACTCATCCTCTCCTGCACACGTGCAAACTGAGCAAGATATTCACACACAGAGAGAGAATATGGAAATGACAGTGAGAGAGAGCGAGTTTATCACTCTACTCCATCAGCGCACTGCAGAAGGGGAAGGCTGGAAGTGATTACTGAGAGCTAATGAGACACATCCTTATTCCGCCCTGCCACTGTCACACTCAATAAATCAGAGTCTGTGCACTTGGAAGAGTTACTGTACCAAATGACTAAATATGGATGAGAAAATACAGCAGAAGATACATTTAGATTAGAAATTATTTTTTCCCTTTTGTCTGCACAGTGGATTTGGACATGACCTAAAACAGCAGGAAAAACACTACCAATCAAAAGTTTGGGGTCAGCAAAGAAGTCTCTTACTTACTCTACAGTAAAAACAGTAATATTGTGAAATATTATTACAATTTAAATAAGCTGTTTTCTGTTTGACAGGGTATCTGCAGGCTTTATGAAGGTAAATTTAAGACTTTTAGAACCAAGTAAAGAAACTTTAAGGAATAAACTGAATGGAACACAATATGTCAATACGGTCTCTATGTAAATGTAAATGTCTTGTATTAGCAGTGCTTCAAAGTATAAAAATACAACAAACTTTTACTGTACCTTCTGTTCACACTGACAAAAAGTGATGCTCTTCATGTATTTTTGTCTTGTTTTCCAGTGCAAATGTCTAAAGATTCTTAAATCAAGATACATTTACTTGAAAAGCAAAATTACATAAAATAAAAAGTCTTTGTTTTTTGAGAAATTGATCCAAATGAAGTAAGTTTATGATTACAACAAGAACAAATATCTGGCAAAAGGCTCAGAAAAACCTGTTTAATTCAAAGGGGACACATGTCGAAAATGTTTTTTTATGGTTTGCTGCTTAATATTTTGGTGGAAATGTGATTCATTTTTTTCAGGTTTTTATTTATTTGATTAATAGAAAGTTTAAAAGAACAGCATTTATCTAAAATGTAAATCTTTAAATCTTTTGTAACATTATAAATGTCACTTTTGATCCATTTAATGCATACTTACTGAATAAATGTATTAATTTCTTTCAAAAAACAATCGTACGGACCCCAGACTTTTGAACGGTAGTGTATGAATGTGACACATGAGTATAACACACAGACCTGTTCAGTGAAGGTGGGTGAGTGGATACAGTGGAAGTCTTTCAGACAGTCCTGTAACACTCGGTGCCTCATCACTCCCTCCACCACATCCACACCCTTCAGGTGCAGGTCATTCACAGGGTCCAGGGTCGTAATACCATTTGGATTGGCCTCAGCCAATCGCAGGAGCTCCTGAGTTGCTGTAGAAATAGCCTGACCTGGTGGATCAAGTCTAGGAAGGGAAGTTTATTTATTATCATTGCCACAGTTCAACAAATGCAAATTCACTCACAGCTTAGATGAGCACATACAGACCTGAAGCGTGGCTGCTGTCTTTTATTATAGTTGTCGATGATTCTCTCTGGAATGACCTTGAGGGTTTTGGTTGTGATGGCAGAGATGTCCTGCAACTTCAGTTTCTGCACCGTGTGACTGCAGGGTCCTACACACACAGTCACACTGTAACTGACACTTTAACAACAAAAGAAGCTGTAAAAGTAGTTGTGACGTTCATGACGTCACTCTCCTAACTTGGTGATTTACGGTGTGGGCAGGTAAGGTTTTGGGGTGGATGCGATGCTGTGTGTGTATGTTTTTGCTCACCCTCTGGAATAAACAGTGTAGTGCTGTAGATGGGATGGAAGGCTTTATTAGACAGATCATCACCCGCCGCCTCCTCGTTACCCTTCTCACAGATAATGAGAGCGGTGAACGTGCGATTTACTGCATCGTTGGACACCTGTGGGAGGAGATGAGAGGAAAGAGAGAGAGAGGAAAACAAATAGAGGAGATTGAGGTCAGCTGTGCAACTTTCTTCTTAAATTGTCCTCTGGGAAATACACTACTGTTCAAAAGTTTGAAAGAAAGTAATACTTTTAATAAGCAAGGATGCATTAAATAGATCAAAAGGGACAGTAAAGACACTTATAATGTTACAAAATATTTTATCTCAAATAAATTCAGTGCGTTTGAACTTTATATTTATCAGAGAATCCTGAAAAAATGTATCATGGTTTCCAGAAAAATATTAATCAGCACAACTGTTTTCAACATTGATAATAATCAGAAATGTTTCTTGAGCAGCAAAAAAGCATATTAGAAATGATTTCTGAAGGATCATGTGACACTGAAGACTGGAGTAATGATGCTGAAAATTAAACTTTGATCACAGGAATAAACAGCATTTTAACATATATTAAAATTTAAAATATATTAATATATTTAAAATACATTAAAATATTGTAATAATATTTTACAATATTACTGTTTTTAATCACATAAATGCAGCTTTGTTGAACATAACGCACTTCTTTCAAAAACATTAAAAATCGTTAAAAAAAATACTCCTAATTATATTTCAGATTGTCTGCTATACACTCAAATTAGAAGAAAACATCTATATATAGCCATAGAAATATGACTTTCAATTTTTTTTATTTAAAAAAAAAATCTTATCTTTTATCTTTAAATAAAAAAAATATCTTACCCCACTTTCCCAAATGAATGCATGATATTGTCATTGGTCATTGCTGCAGATGTGTGTTCATGGTTAGAGAAGGAGAAGTTGACAGTAAAATGTGTTCATTATTCAGGCACACACCTGTAGAATGACTCCCAGGGCGTTGTGATGCTGGCCGTTGCTCACTATTACCACCCTCCCCACAGACAGAGCTTTCAGTCCATTCATTGACTCCAGTACAGCTCGCTGCCACACACACACACACACACACACACACACACAGAGTGTGATTATTTTAAATATAGAATACAATTTATATATGTATGTTTGTATGTATGTATGTGTATATATATATATATATATACACACTGTACATGTATGCATTTTAAATATTATATAGAAATAATAATTGGTCTGGTGGTTTTGAAAGCACTTGATGGCTCTGATTGCTCTTATTTTTCTTAAATTAATAAATGAACTAATAAAAAAAATAAAATAAAATACAAATCAAAAATATTGTTTTCAAATAAACTAGCTACATATTATCATCACCTGTTATAATAACAACAGATAACTGTAAATTCTATGAATTTAAATCATATCAGTGTTATTTTAGTATCACTGAAATACAACAATTTTTAATAACATTTTTAAGTAGTTTATATTTTCGTTTATTATATTTGTATATTTCATATATTTCATTTTTTGTAGTATGTTTTTTTTGTGAATTTTAAAATATGTGTATATGGCTTTTAGTTTTAGTTATTTTATTACATCAAATTGAACAAAATGAAAATGAGAAATGTTGCCTTAGCAACTAGTTGAAATAAGTTTTTTTTTTTAAATATTTAATTTGATTTCAGTTAACGTTCATTTTTTTGAAGTAACAATTTTTTTATGGTTTTAGTTTACTATAATAGCCCTGAATGAAATTTAAATCAAGATAATTCTTTTTTTTTTTAATTCAATTAATGCAATTCTGTCATTTAATCCGAACCCAACTGTCCAAGGTTTTTCTTAGCTGGTTTATAAATGCATGTAATCGCCCAAATGCTGTGAATCCAGTATTTGAGCTCTGTGATAGCGTACACTGTACTCATATAAATGTGTGTGTGTGTGTGTGCACCTGCAGGGTCTCTGTGGTGATGCGCAGCTCTGTGATGGTGTGGTAATATGACAGTAAATCAGATAACTGCCCCTCCGTGTCCAGCGGAGGGAGAGAGGAGAGTGTGTTTCTCAGCTCACTTATTCTCTTCTCATGAGCCTGAGCAACACAAAGACAGAAAATGACTTGGCTAACCGAATGAGTTTCATAACATTTCATCATATATTTAATATTTCCGCCTTTTGTAAGACTGAATTACTGAGTTACTGGGGCATGCAGACCCCACAGACATTTCAACGTCACCCAAGGGCTGCTGGGAAATGAGGCCGTTTACCTGCGTATCCCTGTGGTTCTCAGAAAAGCTCCTCCTCATCATGTCGGTGACCCTCAGGGCCTCCACACGCAGCAGATTCAGGATCATGGTGTAGGTCAGTCTGAACTGAGAATGCAGCACTGTCGGCTTCCCCTGACACGGAGAAAAAAACGCCACACATTAACACCATCTCTCTGTGCTCTTGTATAAATGTAATTTATATCACCCATTAGCATTGATTCATTCATTGACTGCCAATATTTGAGCTACTTCTAAGACTATGGCGTACAGACAAATAAAACAACAAACTGGCTTCAAACCATGACAAATAATAGCATGAGGACACAATGTAAGGATGTTGTGTATCATGACGCTTTGTGCTCATCCAGTGTAATTAGAGTGGGGAAATGGAGTTGACATACAGCAGAGGTCCAATCACACAGCGGCCCTTGACAACACACTGTGCGTTATTACAGCATCAGCTGCTGCTGCCATGACGTCCATGACATGGAGCTGATCAGCACACAGATTACTGGCCCATCTGAGAAAAACCACATCTCACATGGACTGGGACAAACTCATCAGCAGCTCAAATGCATGGGGAAAATCAAATGTTTCATGCTCTTTGCCTTTTTTCTTCTTCTTTTTTTTCAAAACAGCATGGAAATTACTTGGAAAAATAACTATATCATTACATTTTCTGAGGAACTGCCTCTGCAAAACTCACTGCCCTGATCCTAGGGTGTTTGCGATAGCAAACATGTCAGAGTATCTTGAACATGTTACTGAGCTGTTTTTTTACTGATCCAATTCAAATGATATTCTGGTCTCTCAAAATTAATCACTTGCCTCTTCAATATAAGTCTATGGAATTTATTTATGTAATTTATTACCTTCCAGGTGAAAAGCAAAGCTAAAAAATTAAGCTAAACCTAATATTAAAACTATTAAAAATTATTGTTGGAAGTGAAATTGAGCTGAAATAAAATATAAATATTAGATGCAATAGTTAAACAAACAAAAAAAGTTAAACAAAGTTTAGGTTGAATTACTAGAATTTCTAAAACTAAAACTGAAATTAATTAAAACCATGTAGAAATGTATATATTTAGAAAAAACAAAAGGCAATAAAAATGAAACAAAATTACTAAAACTTAAATTAAAATTAAAAGGGAAAATAAAAGCTATTCAAAATATTAATAAATAATATAATAGTATATAAAAAACTAATATTTTACAATAAGGTTCCATTTGTTAACTATACTTAATACATTAACTAACATTAACTAACAATGAGAAATACATTTGTTACAGTATTTATTCATCTTTGTTAATGTTAGTTAATAAAAAAAAAGCTGTTCATTGTTAGTCCATTTTAGCTCAGGTCCATTAAAAAACATTAATAGATACAACTTTTCATTATAATAATGTATTAGTAAATGTTGGAATCAAATATGCTTTAGAAGTATTTTTCATTGTTAGTTTATGTTAACTAACGTGGCTAACTAATGTTAACAAATGGAACCTTGTTGTAAAGTGTTACCTGAATACACTAAAATAACACTGGCTCCAAACCTTAAGTCCAAAAAACACTACAAATCAGCTTTCATGTTGATGCTGGTATGTGTAATGTGGAGACTGGCAAAATGACAGCAGCACTAGTGAATGCTGGTGAGTTCTGTGCTGGAATGGCACTGAAACAGGGACAGGGGTTAACTGACTGAATAGCTGTGATGTAAAACACTGAGAGGTTAAAACAGCTCCGGCACGCTGGACGCTCTAATGAAGAGGAGCTCATTCACCCACACTCCATCCACAAGAGGAGGACAGAGGTGCACTCACAGGCTGCATGACTCTAAAAAAAGACCAGCGACGCTTGTATTTGGCTCCAGATTGAACAATCAGGCAGTGATTTACAAAGACGAGATGGGATACCTCTTCTCAGATCATAGTAAAGCCTGGATTAGGAGGAGATTGCTGCAGTAATGGCAGTAAAAATGGAGGACTTTACCAGCTATGAACAAAATAACTTTCCTATCATGCACCAGCGGAGAGAGCTGTAGGTGTTTAACACAGACTGACCAGCATCATGGCGTGGAGGTCTCCCATATCATGAACTCCCGCCTTACAGAGGATGATAACAGTCCCTGTAGCATCCAAACCTCTTCTGCCCGCACGGCCCGCCATCTGAATGTACTCACCTACACACACATAGTTTAGTATCAGTTGTGTAATCTTTTAAACAAAAACATTCTATACATTTACATTTAATCTCACTTCGAAAGTGTCACACACTCACAAACAACGATTAATCGCGATTAATCACATCCAAAATAAAAGTTTTTGTTTACATAATATATATGTGTGTGTACTGTGTATATTTATTATGCATATATAAATACACAAACATACAGTATATATTTTGAAAATATTTACATGTATATATTTACATTCAGATAATTTATATTATATATAAATATATTTAAAATATAAACAAATATATACATGCATGTGTGTGTATTTATATATGCATAATAAATATACACAGTACACACACATATATTATGTAAACAAAAACCTTTATTTTGGATTTCTCGGACATCATCAAGCCGTGTGATGCTTCATTAGTGAATGAGCATAGATTAACATCTTAATAATCAAATGGAGTTTGATCAGCTGCAGGCGCATCCCACTTCCTGTTCCCTTCCCATCACTTCCTGTCACCGGGATCCCCCTCCCAACGGCCCTCGGCCCACAGAGCAAGAGCTCCTTGATCAAGGCCATCTTTGAGTCAGGAAACATTACAGCTCAATTACCGTTTAAACCGCTTAATTATCAACCCAAGAGAAGAACAGAAAGAAGGAGTGTTAAGATGCCCTTCAGCATCATGTGTTCTCTCACTTTATTCTTGTCACACTTTGTGTCTACATTTATCTAGATCTCACCTTTTGTTTTCATTCATGGAAAGCTATTAAATTATACCTCTGAAACGATGGTTTTCAAATGTATTTACTAGTGCTGTCAAACGATTAATCGCGATTAATCGCATCCAAAATAAAGGTAATATATGTATGACAGTGTGTTTACTGTCTTTATTTATTATGTATATATAAATACAAACACATGCATGTATATATTTAAGAAAAATAAATATAAAAATGTATAGAGATGTAAATATTTTAAATATATACACTGCATGTTTGTGTATTTATATATGCATAATAAATATACACAGTACACACACATATATATTATGTAAACAAAAACTTTTATTTTGGATGCGATTAATCGCGATTTATTATTATTATTATTATATTATTGTAAAATATACTTTGCTTAAAGAAAAATAAGCCGTTTTTTTTACCATTTGAGGCCATTAAGATTTTTTGGCATTGCAACGCTATTTCAATGACAATTAAGAATCCAATTATCTGTGAATCTTTTTTTTTTTAGATTAAAATAATCATATAATTTATCATATATCATATAATTTAATACAACAAATACTACCATGACAGTATCTTTTAAACGTTTGGAGCCAGTAAGATTTCTTTTTAAAGAAATTAATACTTTATTCAGCAAGGATGCATTAAATTGATTAAAGTGGCAGTAAATACATTTCTAATGTTACAAAATATTTATATTTCAAATAAATGCTGTTCTTTTGAACTTTCTGTTCATCAGCTAATCCTGAAAATATTTATCACGGTTTGCACAAAAATATTAAGCAGCGCAACTGTTTTCAGCATTGAGAGTAATAAGAAATGCTTATTGAGCAAAAAGAAAAAAAGTCATCACCAGAAAAATTACTTTTTAAAATACATTAAAATAGAAAACAACTGTAAGAATATTTCACAATATTAGTGTTCTTACTGTATTTTTGATCAAATTAAAAAAAACATGAAGAAATTTTACAGAACTTTTAAATGGTAGTATGTACTTAGAATTATCTTTCACAATTAAATAATATATCTTTTTTAATTACAGTAATAAGAATGGTATTTATTTTTACATTTTTTAGAGGTAGTTTAATTGTGTTTAATTGTCATAAAATTACTTGAAACATTTTTCCAAAATGGGCATCAATTTCTTAAAATTTTCATTCAAGTAAAATGTATAATTGTCTTTAAATTTAAAATAACAATTTATAATTTTTCTATATTTTGATTTTGGGGGTGAAACATGACCCAGACACATTTTTTTATATGTATTGTCACATCTACCCAAATGTTTTATGAATATCTATTTTGTGTACTTTTGGCAATATGCAAAATGCAATGGCTAAAACAGGGCCATCTACTCTCAAATCTGTGATAACTGTGTGCTATACTCTCTCCCTCTTCCCTTTTTTCATACACACTATTATTAGAAGAAAAATAGATTTGAGCAAACTCAAGCATCTCTCTCTCTCTCTCTCTCTCTCTCTCTCTCTCACACACACACACACACACACACACATCAAAGGCCTCCTGCTGTCTCACTGCAGTCCGGTCACATGTGCACAAACATCTGCACTACTCCAGCATAATTAATCTGCTCATTCATTAGAGATGGCTAATGCATCAAATACCTGGCCATCAGTGGCGTCTGTCTGCCTGTAGCGTCTCCGCCAACAAGTATCTGACAGCTTCTTATAATGTCTATTTGTATGACAATTTGTATAATAATTGTAAACAGTTATCATTTTAAATGAGAATACCTGCAACAGGCGTGCTTAAGAGATGTAAGTCAGGATATGTTTGGACAAAACAGGCATTTTGTTGTTTGTAATGTAAGACAGCAAAGGAGCTGTGTTTTTACCGGGCAGCAGGTTTCTGAAGCCTGTGCCGTCATGTTTGCGGATGCTGTCGAACACGACGGTTCTGGCAGGCATGTTCACACCCATGGCAAACGTCTCTGTAGCAAACAGCACCTGAAAGAGAAAAGTCACCAACTCTTTTGCTTTTCTCTAATCAAATACAGTTATACATTTAGCTTTTCTATATTCAAATAAAGCTTGTACAAAACAAGTCCATAAAACAAACCTTTACTAAACCTCTGGAGAAGAGCATCTCAATAATCTCCTTCAGGATTGGCAGGATGCCGCTGTGGTGAACACCAATCCCTCTCTTCAGCAAATCACGCATCAACAGGATCTGTGGTGACAAAATTAATTTTTCTGTGGATTTTTCAAATACATTTTAAAATATATTCACATAGAAAACAGCTATTTCACAATATTACTGATTTTACTGTATTTTTGGTCAAATAAACACAGCCTTGGTGAGCATAAGAGACTTCTGGTAACACTTTACTTGAAGCTGTTATGTATGATGCATTATAAAGGTATTCATAATGTACAATGCAATGCATTATATCTGTAACAAAAGTTAAAATGCATTATAATATTTGCAGATCCCTTGTTACATCTGAAATTGGTCATTTATCAAGTGTTTTAATGCATTGTACATTCTAAATATGTAACTATGAATCGATAGGTGTTATAATGTATTATAAGAATTATTCATAGAATCATAAGATGCATTACAAGTAGGGCTGTGCGATTAATCGAAAACGCGATTTGAGACGTTGCGATTTCCTAATCGAAAAGCCTGCGATGTGGACGCGATATTACTCTGTTCCAGAGCATATGCATGACTGCCAGCCTTGAGTTGCAATCTTACTTGCCCTGGGCAAGAGTGAGCGCACCTCCGTTCTCCCCAATCAGCACTGCTCTAGCCAACTGCGTAAACACCCACCATTAAAACAAAAACCGGAACGCGGGACGGGAGAGAGACAGAGTGGGATTATGGCGTCTACTGGGTCAGATCGATAGTTAGGCAAATTAAAACTAAAGAAAACCGTATGCAAGGCATAATTAAATCTATTTATAATGCATTATATATAAAGGCTTTAAGTAAAGTGTTACCAGACTTCTTTCAAAAAAAATCTTATCGACCCCAAACCTACATAGTAGTGTATACTTTGAATTTGTCTTTCAAAAAATGTAATAATACATCTTCTTTTATTGCATTACAGTAGTAAATAGTGGGGTTGTTACATTACAGCAGGTTACTGAGAGTTTAACTGTATTTAACTGTCAGTAACATACTGTAATGTAAAAAAAAACAAATTATTTACTACTGTGATGCAAAAAAAGATGATGTATTATTTTGTATAATTTTGAAAAAGTATACACTAAATAAGTTATGACAGTGCAAAACATCTTAATGTTCCTAAAATAGGCTTCAAGTAAAATGTAATTTTTTACTTTTTCTTTTGTTTGATTTCAGGGTGGAACATGACCCAGACATACATTTTTTAAATATCTTTGATTTTTTTTTTTTTTTTAATAAGTGTTGATTTAATCATTAAATTGAGTTATGTATCATTTATCAGCATTATATTGGGTATAAGCCACCTTGTTTTTCCAGATATCTGAATTAGCCAATGAAAACTCTTGTTCTACTGCTACACTGGACCCAAATCTCATGTACCTGCGGTAACTGCCGATCGCCTCCTCTCAGTCTGGTCAGGCTCTTCTGCAGGAAGGAGTGGATCTCGCTCTTCTCTATGGAGCTGGTGAGGTCCAGAGAGGTCAAAGAGCGGGCGTTTTCATCACAGCGTGTCCGGGAGAAGGTGAATGCCACCACTGGAGTCTGCTGCCTCTGAGACAGATAGCTCAGCAGCGTCTGCCACACGGCTCGATCCTAACAGAGAACGGGGAGGATGAAGAAAACACCGTAAAAAAACACTGTAGTTGCAGGAAATAGAGATCACTTGTTTAAAAGAAAATGACGGGAGGTTCAGACACTGACTTGACTGGCTGTTGTGTTGTGCTGTGACACGTTCTTTGTGCCGAAAGACTGTGCATGTTTACTAGTGCGTTCCTTCTTGGCTTCCACTGCGGCATAGTAGCTGAAAAACAAAACACTTGTTTCAATTTAAATGAATTTACAAAAGCCCTTTGCTATACTTTTGTAAAACTTTGTTTGAAGTCCATCTATAATGTTAGTCTAAATACGTTATTCAAATATTTTTTTTTTTGAGGTTAAAACGTCATCATATAGATTTATACACCATTTTCAACCCTCTTTCTGACCTTTATTTTACTAAAACACATCTGAGTTGAAATTTTATCTTAATTGCAGCAGATATAGTCCATTTACAATGTAGAAAACAATCAAGCAACCAGACGGACACTGCAAACACATTATAATATTAAATGATTTATTATTATTTTTCATCCACATTCCAAGTTTACTGTCTCTATTTTACGCTCTCTTTATTTATTTTCTATTTCAAATAAATGCTGTTCTTTTTAAATTTCTATTTATCAAAGTATCATGAAAACAAAAATGTATCACAGTTTCCCCAAAATATGAAGCAATTCTGTTTTCAACACTGATAATAATAAGAAATGTTTCTTGATCAGCAAATCAGAATATTAGAATGATTTCTGAAAGATCATGTGACACTGAAGACTGGAATAATGATGCTGAAAATTCAGCTTTGCATCACAGGAATAAATTACATTTCAACACACATTCAAATAGAAAACGGTTATTTTAAATTATAATAATATTCCACAATATTACTTTTTATTGAATTTTTGATCAAATAAATGCAGCCTTGTTGAGCATAAGAGACTTCAATGAATCTTCAATAAATCTGAAATGCATTCTTGTTTTGAAATGCAATCTTGTTTTGTGACTTAACGCACCCTTTAGTGAGGAAGTTTCCAGAGGGGTCCAGCAACAGGAAGAGCTCTTTCTGAGTCTTGGTGCTGTTGCCGGTGTAGAGATAGTGCTCTAGAGGAACAGGCCTCTTAATTGTGCTGATCACATAGATGGGCCGCTTCTTGATACGCCTGAGGACGGAGAAAGCACAGTAAAACCGTGTGAGCTACACAATCTACATAGAGCAGGATAAAATGGCTTTGATAATACACACACCCAATCCATTCACTGAACTCCACTGCGTTTGGCACTGTGGCACTCAGTAGGATGATGCTAACATGCTCTGGCAACATGATAAGCACTTCCTCCCACACCACTCCCCTCTGACAAACAACAAAATCATATGAGATCTGAATGCAATAAAGACAAAAGCATAACTGAATTAGATTTTTGAACTGAATTCATCACCTCTGCATCGTTGATATAGTGAACCTCATCAAAAATGACCCATTCCAGATCTCGAATTACCTCGGACCCATTATAGAGCATAGATCTGTTAGGAGGAAGACATACTGATTTACAAAGACTGTAAAAAAAAAACAAATCATGCACGTGACTAATTATGAATTATAAGTAACTGACATGAAGGCCTGCTATTGGATAATCACCTCAAGATCTCAGTGGTCATGATGAGACACGAGGCTTCAGGGCTCAGTTGGACATCTCCAGTCAAAAGTCCCACGTCACCGAATGTGGTCTTGAAGTCCCGGAACTTCTGATTGGACAAGGCCTTGATGGGGGATGTGTAAATGGTCCTGTCAGGAGGAACAGTGATATTGGTATGAGCCATTCATCTAATGTCACAGTAAGACAAGATATGTTTACTTATTTAGCACATTTCATACACAATGGGAATTCAAAGTGCTTTATTTACAAGTACTTTTAACGTGGTTTAAAAAAAATAACCAAAACTGCAAAGAAATTTTTTTTTCCAAATACCTACTATTTAAAAGTTTGTAGGTATGATTTTAATTTTTTTTTATTCAGCAAGCAGGTTTTTTTTTTTTTTTAAGTGACAGCAACGCAGTGTTATTTTTGTATCACTGATATACTATTATATTTTTTGTTGATAGTTTGAATTTAATATATATATTTTTTTTGTTTTCACTTTAATTTTAGTTAAAGTTTTAGTAATTTGCTGTTTTTTTTGTTTAAAATGTTTTCATATAGCTTTTATTAATTTGTATTAGTAGTTGTAGTTACTTTTATACTTCAAGATAAACTAAAGTCAAACTATGAGAAATGCTACCTGGGCAACTAGCTGAAATAAAATAATAAACAATTTTTGTTTTAGTTTGGTTAACCTTTTTTTTTTTTCCCCCCAAGTAACAATTTTTTTGATGGTTTTAGTTTAACTATAAAAAAAAAACCTGCAGTAAGACATTAATAATGTTAAATAAATGTTATTTTCATGGTTTCCACAAAAATATTAAGCAGCACAACTTCATCTTTGATAATAATAAGAAATGTTTCTTGAGCAGCAGATCAGCATATTAGAATGATTTCTGAAGGATCATGTGACACTGAAGACTGGAGTAATGATGCTGAAAATTAAACTTTGCATCACAGGAATGAATTACATTTTAAAATATATTCAAATAGATATCAGCTCTTTTGAACTGTAATAATATTTCACAATATTACAGTTTTTACTGTATTTTTGATCAAATAAATGCTTCCTTGGTTAACGTAAAAGACTTCCGTTAACCAATCCCAACTGATCCCAATCTTTTGAACAGTAGTGTATTAAAAAGTAAAGACCTGGTCATGTGTTTCTGGGAAAGTGCAATTGCGTATTCAGCCACCACGGTCTTGCCGGCTGAGGTGTGAGCCGCGACAAAGACGGAGTCATGAGCTTCGAGTCGGAGAATAGCCTGCTTCTGAAACACGTCCAGCTCGAAGGGATACTGAGACAGGGCAGGAATAAAGAAAAAAAACAAACAACCCTTTATTATAGCAAACTCACAAAAACCATGTGCATAACAGCAGCTTTGCTATTAAACCTTGTAAAATGATGAACAAATAGTGAGTTCTGACCTTGAAGGCTGGATCAGGGATACGCTTGTAGAAGTCGTCACAGGGTGAGGTGATGTCCACAGGAACGGCCCATTTTTTATTGTCTCCCTTGTCTTCTTGCTGAGGTTTCTTCTTTTGTTCAGTCAGACTTACTGTGTTCGCTGAAGGCTGAGAAGGAGAGTTGCCTGAATCCTGAAGAGTACATGTGTTTAAGAAGAACATATTTTGAAAACGACAAAACAAACACAGAAATGTCGGGTAATCAAATGCATAAGAATTCTGTCTAAAAGTTATACACACTTTAATTCCCAGGTCCTCCAGGCTGTTAGTTCTGGGAAGTTTAACGGTCTCCTCTTTTTGGGAGACTCCCTCTTTCTCCTCTGGCAGAGCGTCGATGACATCATCAAAGGTCGACAGTAGTGACAACAGGTTCAACTCACTCTTCGTGGTTTTGGCTTCTAAAGGCATTAAAGAGACAGTCCACTCAAAAATGAATCATCATTTATTCATCCTCATGTCGCTCCAAACCTGTATGATTTTCTTTCTTCAGCAGAACATAAAATAAATTATTTAGAAAAGTCTCAGTGTGTTTTTTGTCCATAAGTCAATGGGCACCAACATTCTTTAAAATATCTTCTGATGTGTTCTGCTGAAGAAAGTAAGTCATACATGTTTGGAACGACATGAGGGTGAGAAAACTATGACAGATTTTTTTATTTTTGGATAATAATGCACAACCTAAAGAGGGATGATGATAAGTTATACATGCAGAGAGCAATACTGAAATCAGACCTTTGTCACTGAAGTCCATACCAGCCTTCAGCCCAGGAGGAACCGCCAACAAATCTAAGTCAAGAAACAAACTGTCACGGTTTCTTTTTCTCTCCCACACACTCACAAATGATTGTTAACTGACAAAACGAAACAGACCACTAACCTTCCTCAAAGTCAATGTCTTCTTCCAGCTCTGACTTTTTCTTAATCTGCTCTAACGTCAGTTCTTCCATTCCAGCTGTACGAGGACAGAAGAGTTTAAAAACTGGATCATTTTTAAACACAATTATGAGAAGTTGATCTAAATATGAACTACTGAACCTGGCAGAAATGGATAGTTTGTGTTACTCCCTCTCAGACTCTCTGACGGAGGTCCAGGCTGTCTTTGTAATGAGAGAGAATTTTTGGCAGACAATCCTGTGTCCTCTAATAACACCTGACATCAAGAAAAAAAAATTTTTATATACATTATAAAAATTACATTACATTATAAAGAACATTTACTGTGGTTTCCTTGCACACATTAAAAAAAGGAATTTTAATTTAAAGATGAAGAGCATAATTTAGACAACACATTTTCTGCAGAAACCTGCAAAAAAATAATGATTGTTTCCAAAGTAAGTAAACATTTATTTATATAGCACCTTTCAAAACAAAGTTACAAAGTGCTTTACAATAAAAAGATCAGTACAGTAACAAAATACAAAAAATACCATCAAAATGAAGAAAAAGTCATATGATAAAAATTAGTCTTAAGAAGAGACTTAAAAGAGGATACAGTAGGAGCCTGCCTAAGATCCCCAGGCAGGGCGTTCCATAGCTTAAGCGCACGGATAGCAAAAGCGTTGTCACCTTTGGTAACAAGTCGAGATTTTGGAACCATTAATAGGGAGGGTCGGAGGATCTCAAGCAGCAATCAGGCTCATAAGGAATTAATAAATCACAAATATAGGCAGGAGCCTGACCCTTCAAGGCCTTAAAAACAAGCAACAAAACCTTAAAATCAATTCTAAAACGCACAGGCAACCAGTGAAGAGCAGCAAGAATCGGTGTAATGTGGTCACTTTTCTTAGTACGTGTTAAAAGCCTAGCAGCAGCATTTTGAATCAGCTGCAATCTTTGGAGATTTCTCTTGCTAATACCAGAATAAAGTGCATTACAATAATCAAGTCTGGAAGAAATAAAAGCATGAATGACCTTTTCCAAATCTGCCAAAGAAAGGAATGACTTTATCTTTGTTAGTTGCCTCAGTTGTGCAAAACAAGACTGCACCACTTTACTCACCTGAACATCAAAGGACAGTTCTGAGTCAAAAACTACACCTAAGTTGCGAGCCTCTTTTCGAACATTATTAGATAAGGCACCCAGACTAGAGATTATTAATACTAGCACTACTGGGGATGCATGGGGTAATTATAAGCACTTCTGACTTGGAGTCATTCAACTGCAGAACATTTTTCGACATCCAATTTTTGATTTCGATGAAGCATGACATAATATGGGATGTATCAATAATACCAGGCTTTACCGGGACATACAATTGCGCATCATCTGCATAGCAGTGGAACTCAATGTCATAACTGTGCATAATTTGACCCAGGGGTAACATGTAGATAGTAAACAGAAGGGGACCCAAAATAGATCCCTGAGGGACCCCACAAAATAAAGGAGCACGAGAAGAGGAGGCATCTCCAAGCACTACGGAAAAAGACCTATTCAACAAATAAGAAATAAACCAATCCAGAGCTACATCTCTGATACCAACATAAGTTTTTCATTTTTGTTTCCAAAACAGCTTTCCATTGGCTGGGCAAAATGATAGTCTGACTCAAACTCAATCATTGGTCGAGTGGGAAGATGACATGTTGAGACAGTCAAATAAACTAAGCAATTTTTTTATGAATCACAATTTTTACATTCTTCTGGAAATAAACCTATCCAGTGTTATTTTAGTCTCACTTGTATGCTATTATTGTGTTTATTAACGTTTTAAATTAGCTTTTATTTTTATATTTTCAGTTTCCATTTTAATTTTAGTGTAGTTTAATTTGTGCTTTTGTAATTTTATTAGTTTTTGTTTGTATTTAAATATTTATATTTCTTTTTTTCTTTTTTTTTTCAGTTTCAGTAATTGCAACTATTTCAACTTCTTATTTCAGTTAGTTGCCAAGGCAGTATTTTTAAATTTTAAGTTTTTATATTTTATATTACATCTAATATTTATATTTTTTAGTTTAATTTCATTTTGATTAACGAAAATTATTTTAATAGCTTTGGTTTTAGGTAACAATAACAATACTAAATCTATCTTTGAAGATTAAAATGGAATACGAAAACAAACTTTAAGATCGGCAAACAGAACGCAGTAAATGTTTTCCAGCGTTACCTCAGTGAAATCCAGCAGCATACCGGTGGTGGGATCTCTGACCACAGACAGACCGGAGTGCAGTGGAGACAGTGAGCAGTGCAGGAGAGAGTCCACCTCTTTGTTCCGCTTACTTATCCTAAAGGACACATTTGTAATTGACAAAACGGAGTAAAGATAAGATAGGCCTATCTACTGCAAAGACAATCACTATCTTCTGAATGTGTCTCATTTCATACTTAAGGAACTTGTGGAAGGCATCATCTACACCGTGTACCGGGAGCCAAGCAGGGTCTCGCAGAAAACGCTTTTCTACCTCTGTTTTTAGATCTAGACAAGTAGGAGGGAGCCCATGGGGAAGCTGAAAAAGAGAAATATTCAAGAATATAAATACAAAATTAGCATACACAAATGAATACCATTATTGTTTTAGTATTATTAAACGACTAACTGTGCTGTGTGGAGGCAGGGGTCTGTTTTGGGGCAGTGGGTGTGTGATGAGCTCAAGTCTCCCCGAGCAGCCCATCTCCAGCAGAGACAGGGGCAAATCATCAGGACCCACTGGGGGCAAATCTACACGCAGAAGAAAACAGCAGTTCATCAGTACCACTGCAACTACAGGCCAGAAAGCTCAGGAAACCCACTGGATCATGCATGGCAGATGTAGATGTAGCTGAGCTGGCTGTCATAGGAGCGATTTACGACACAAAGCAGCCAAATCCTCAACTGGCTGCTGATGATATTATTATACCACACCAGGTAAGCACGCAGAATTACACAGTGCAAATAAAAAAATACTGCTATTTTTTTCATACCTGTTTTGTCCATGTCACTCTGCAGTTCTCCAGTGTCAGTAAAGTTTCACTCCTGCAGGAAGCTGCGCACAACTAAAGGGACGGAAGGTTTTTATTAGTATTTTTGTTTACTACTATACAACATAATGGTCTGTGTGTGTGACCTAACATAGATTTACGTTTTAATGTACTTTAAATACACCGTAAAACAAAAAAGAATAACTGTGGGCAAACTATTTTGTATGAGCTGCTTCCGCGGATGACAACAGATGGCGTCATAATTGTGCGCCGAGCGAGGAATTACTGCAGACGCCTATTCTCATTTTCTGAATTTAAGGTAATTTCATATAAAGCACCGTCTTTATGCAGTTTTTTTAAAGATATGGTTAATATGGTGATGCATTGATTGGAAAATATATAAGACATCTGCTCAAACATATTGCTGTTTTTTCTTCTTCCTGAAGATCAACCAAAATGGCAATATTTCCCAGTTCACTGACAGAGGAGGAGGAAGCACTGCAGAAGAAATATGCTAAATTAAAGAAAAAGGTGAAAAATGTAGTTACGGTTCTGATCATGTGTTTTCTAAGGCTACATTTTGGAACCGTGAAAAGCACATTCACAAAATAATAGTATCAAAAAAGTCAAGTCATATTTAAATCTGTACAATAAATGTACACGCTTTATACAATTCAGATAAAATAATAATAAACAGCAAAATAATATTCATGTTCCAAAATGTATAAATTATATAAAAAAAAAAAAGTTTGAGCTGTAAACCAACTCTACAGAAGACATCTCATTATTCAGCTCAAATCAAATCAGTTCAGTGTTGATTCACTGCTGACTGTTGCTTTGTAGCCTGAAGTTAAGACGGACACCGTTTTTGTTTTATCCAGCTGTATTTATTCAGTGCAACTGATTATTTACGCTTTATACAATTCAGATAAAATAATAATGAACAGCAAAATAATATTCATGTTCCAAAATGTATAAATTATATATAAAAAAAAAAAAGTTTGAGCTGTAAACCAACTCTACAGAAGACATCTCATTATTCAGCTCAAATCAAATCAGTTCAGTGTTGATTCACTGCTGACTGTTGCTTTGTAGCCTGAAGTTAAGACGGACACCGTTTTTGTTTTATCCAGCTGTATTTATTCAGTGCAACTGATTATTTTCTATACCCAGTGTATATTGTATTTTAAGCCCAAACTTGGGAAGCCAAAGGCAAAAATACACACACATGTATGTATATATATATATATATCTTTTTGACATACAGTATTGTCTACCTTCACTTCTGTCATGTAGAAAAAGGCCCTAATGGCTCTGAAGAAACAGAGCTCCACCAATCAGACGGGTCAGATAGGACTGAAGCGCAGTAAGTCAATTTATGGATCACTAAACTTTCCAGATGCAACTGAAATAAGTTTGCATGAAATCTGTGATCTATGAATGATCTCTCTGATTGCCTCTGTTAAGCTCTGTCAGATCAGCCGGTGGTGGACACAGCGACCGCAACGGAGCAGGCCAAAATGCTGATCAAGTCCGGAGCGATCAGCGCCATCAAATCAGAGAACAAGAACTCAGGCTTCAAGCGCTCCAGAACACTTGAGGGTAAACTTAAAGTAAGAGACGTTTTTCACCCCATTAATGGCGAGTCAACATAAATTTGATTTGTTTTTTTATACAAAGCTACAAATACAAAGGATTTTCTTTGTTTCTCAGGATCCTGAGAAAGGTTCTGCCCCAGCATTCCTGCCATTTCAAAGGAGCGTCTCTACAGATGAGGAGCCTCCTGATGTAATGTTGTTTTACACTGTACAAATGAAACCAATCAATATTTGATCAAAAATACAGTAAAACAGTCATATTTTGAAATATTATTATAACTTAAAATAACTGCTTTCTATTTGAAAATATTTTAAAATGTAATTTATTCCTGATGCAAATCTTAATTTTCAGCATCATTACTGCAGTCTTCAGTGTCACATGATCCTTCAGAAATCATTCTAATATGCTGATTTTTTTTAAACATTATAACACAATAACACATTGTTCACAATATTACTATTTTTATTGTAATTTGCAGCCTTGTTGAGCATAAGAAACTTATTTCAAAACATAAAAAAAAAATAATAATTTTGATCGGTTGTGTCAAAAGTGTGATTGTATGAATATATGTAAATAGCTAAATCTGTTAAGTATATTAAATAGTGTCAGTAGACTTGACTTTACATCATGTTGTTTCTTCTTGCTGTAGTCTGCTAAACGAATCCACAGGAAATCCCTGTATGAGAGGTGAGACTGTCAGACTCAGAATAATACTCGTAATCTAATACCTTCATAGAAAAAGTATTGCAGGAAACATTAAGGCTGTTCTTTCTGTCCTATAGTTTTGTTCCTGGAGATCGATCTCGTGACGATGAGGGAGGAAAGTCGAGTCGAGATTCTGAGCGCGATCGGGAAAGAGAGATGGACTGGGAGAGAGATCGAGAAAGAGACAAAGAGAGGGACCGTGAAAGAGACAAGGAGAGAGAACGAGACCGTGAACGTGAACGGGACAGGAGCCGGGATAGTGAAAGGGACAGAGACAGGGACCGAGATCGAGACAGAGAAAGAGACCGAGAGCGGGACGGACCCTACAGACGTAAGTGAATCTGTGCAAAAATAAATCACTTCCATTCAGTGTCCATATTGTGTCATTACAGTGTTTGTTAAAGGGGTCATAGGATGCCCATTTTCCACAAGTTGATATGATTCTTTAGGGTCTTAATGAAAAGTCTGTAACATAGTTTGGTTAAAATTTCTCAATGGTAGTGTAAAAACACCTTTTTTACCCTGTCAA